AAAGGAAATTTCCTTACCTTTTTTTTATACTAACAGAAAAGTAACTTGGTACTGAAAAGTGAATTCAATAGCTTATTAACTGTGTATAATTGAACACCTTATGAACATGAGTCATTTAGTCAAACAGATTCAGCGTTCAGAGTCATCTCCATGGTGTAAAAAAATTCAGTCAGTCAGTCAGTAACAACGTAGGACTTAGTACGTGCGTACGTACATCAGTTCGAGTTGCCAAACCACATTAGCACAGAGATTCAGTTGTCTATTCAAATCCCGTACTGGTAGAGGCGTTAAGAGTATGAGCAGTAATCGGAAACATTAAGGTTTGAAGATGTTATTTAAAGAGTATAGTTCAGTGAAATAAATTTGGAAAGAGAAAAAATGAGAAAATGAGGATTCAGGAGATTAGAATTTGGGAGAACACAAATGGGCTTCTATCTTCTTGACATTGTCGAAGCTTATGTCATACATTTTGAATAGCTAGAAATGTGCTTACAAAAGAAACTTATTTACCCTATTCTTCTATTCATGATCTTAACCCCTAGTTTTCCAAAGACATTACTGTCCCCCTCTTGTACTCTATTGATAGTTTACTGTTATTCAACTTATTGTGTTTCCATACCCTTACCAATTATAATCCATTTTAATTCCAAAATTTTAGTTTATCACTTTAAGCAATGTTTGTCCACACTTATTGTTTGTTTGTATCAGAATAAGCTTTGTGAATATTGTAGTGATCTTTTTAAAAGTTGAATTTATAAATCTTATAATAATCATCTTGTGCTGACTAGTGACTAGCTTTAAGATGGATTTCATGGAGTTTTAGTGAGAAGCCGTCACCAGTGGACTTCAACCCTGCCTAGTGTGAAGCAGTTACTCATTGAAAATAATGATGGACGGTCGCATAATGTCGTGGGTTGGTTGAACTCAGACATTAGATGCTATCCAGCTCAGCGGTTTAAAGGTTAAGCGTTCGTGTGTGAGACCGGTCTTGGGTTCAAGTATTTTTGGTGTTAGATCGTGAATTTGCAGTGATGGGTCGTTCCATACTGGAACAAAACGACCATCCAATCCTTCCAAGTTTTTACTGGTTGCTCAAGCTAGATCTATTCATAATATCAACAACATCCAAAATCTCTACAAATTCTCGTACTGATAAATATCATGTGCTCACTAGTTACTAACTTCTTGAGGACATTTACAGAGTTCCGATATGAAGCTGTAAGCGGTGGAGTTCAGCTATGTTGTATATATGACAATATTCATCAACAATATTAACTAATGTTCATACAATAATACAACTTGATTAAAATTAAACATATAAACTGCAGTATCCCAACTCCCTGGTCTAAAAGTTTAGCTCTCTACTTAAGACCTGAAGTTCCTGCATTCAGTTCCCAATAAGGTGATGGATTCCTACTGGTAAGAGGTCTCATACTAGAATTGTTAAACTATAAACTAACAATATCAATTCTTAAAAATTCAGTAATTTACACTCCAATAATTCACATTTCACAATTTCAGTGACAAAGATTATGACTAAATCAGTACTTGTAAATAGTTTTTTGGTAATAAAAAACAAAGCTGAAAGTATTCAGTAATTTATCAACTTTTATAGATTATTACCAGTATGGGGATTTGTGGTGATTGTAGTAATTTTAATGGTTAAATTCATGAGTCGATCTAAGCTGGACCACCATTGAAAATATAGAAACATTGGACAGCCGTTTCGTCCGAATATGGAACTACTCACCAGTGTACATCTACAATCTCACACCAAAACTACTCGAACCCAAAACCTTCTATCTCACATGCGAACGCTTAACCTCTAGACTACTGAGCTGAACGGTGTCCAACGGTCACAATTGATTGATCACTGGGTGGTGATCAATGTCTTGTGTGTCAAGTCTTTATTTAGTGCAGATCGATGATCACCACCCAGTGATCAATCAATTATGATTACATCTCAGTCCTACAGGAGGTCAGTCACGGCTCGGATAGCTCAGTGGTAAGGTCTCTGACCGTGAAGCTGGGTGACACGAGGTCGAATCCGCCAGGGAGCACCAGTTCCCTCAAGATTACAGGTACACCTTGCTGACGAGTGCCAAGTAGCACGAAACCCGGGTCCAGGGTTTCCTGTCGACTACCTCCAACCACTATCTAATCTCGGTATCCAACGGTGTTAATATCTAGTTTCAATCGATCCATGGTCTTGCACAATCATTCATCTTTTGTCTGAGATAAATACCTGTCTCTACCCGACACAGATTGAACACTATCGGTGACGATTTCTCGCTCGAATTCCATGAAATTCATCTTGAAGCTATTCATTAATGACCACAAGATAACTATCATCAAAATGGGGGCTTGTGAAGATTGTAGTCATTTTAATAGTTGATTAATTTGAGAAGTAATAATACTAATAATAATACATAATAGGTATATATTTAAATATGCGCTTAATTACCAAAACACCAAATAATGTTATTTTTTGAGACAAAAATTCAAGATTTTGACGTTTATTTTTTGTACTTATTCAAGTGAATCACCATGACTATTATCATCACAACAGTACTTATCATTATTATTATTATTACTGTTACTACCAATTATAAATAGTATGACTAATACTCATCTCCGTCTTATTAGTAAAAAAACTTGCATTTGTTTTTTTCATTTTCAAAATGTAAGGTGGAACTTGCGACGTAGGGGTGTATAGTGTATTCAAGGCGTAGATTTACAGATTTCTTTTCTTACAAATAACATTTGGTACCACTTCAATAAAGAATTTTTATATACTTCTAACTAAATATATTAGTATTACATCAATTATTCAAAGCGTAGTCATTATATTTACCACCACCCCGCTTACCCCTGAAAAGAGAAATGCATTCGACAGACGGTGGCAATAGTATTAGTAGTGGAAGTGGTGAATATAAAAGGGGGGTTAGGGATAATTTTAAAACATGTGAGATAAAAAGGTAGTGAAAGAGAGAGAGAGAAAAACACAATAAAAAGTCAAATTTTATTTTTATTTTCCCATTTTATTTTGCATAAACTCACGTTTAGTCAATTTCCCAATTGGCAAAATGTAAAAAAAAATGTTAATTTTTCTGTTATTGAAACCCTTCAGGAAAATAAATAATAATTTAAACAAAAAATCCATCGAGTCTTTTGCTAACTATCCTCATTACTCATTTTCACTTGTTTAACTATCATTCCTTAATAAACTCTTTTTGTGCTTCAATATTTTAGCTCCTCTTCAGTTTGTCTACTTCCCCTACCCCACCCCCACCCCCACCCCTCACTCCTCTCAGTTTGAAATCATAATCTGTGAACAGTAAACTATGTTAAATATTCCCTATTTATGCATAATACATGAGACATTTTAGTAAAAGAAAATAATAATGAAAAGTATCTATTCTACTTATTTTCTAAAGCACATTACCATGTTATACAGTTTATAGTAAACAATGAAATGTAAAACAAAAAATGGTAACATCTTCACTATATAATGAGTATTCATGCGTTACACATACATTATGCATGCATGTATGAAAGCACAGGAATAAAAGATAGATGTAACTTATATTGACATGTCTTTTGTATGTATGCGTGTGTGTGTGTGTGCATGTACGTGTGTGTAGTTAACTGTACTTTTTGGTCTCAGTAACACAGATTTGTCAATCAGTGAGATTTATTCGATAGGATGAATTTTATAAAATAAAGAACATTATGTTTTAACAGACAGAATAATATGTCTAGTTAAATGTAGAAAATAAATAATATTTTTGTTATCAGTATAGAGTTGTGAAGATTGTTGAGTTCTTATTGAGATCATGAATAGATTATTGTTTCAAGATGGACTTTCTGGAGTTTTAGTGAGAAGCCGTTATCAATGGACTTCAATCGTGTCTAGTGTGAGATAGTAATTCACTGAAGACAGTGGTGGACGATGGCATAATATCGTGGAGTGGTTGAAGTTAGACACTAAGATTATTAGATACCATCCAGCTCAGTGATCTATAGGTTAAACGTTCGCGTGTGAGATCAAAGATCTTGGATTCGAGTATTTTTGGTGTAAGATCGTGGATGTGCACTGTTGAATAGTCCCATACTAGGACAAATCGGCTTTCAAGTTTTCAATTGTGCTCTAACATTGATCTATTCATGATCTCAATATTTCTTTTTAACAAATAATTATTTCAAAATTAGTTCATTTTAAGAATATATTCTATACAGTACAATGTGTTTTTTAGATGAAGAGCACAGAGATTTTGAAACGATGTTTTTATTTAAAATAGTTTACAGACTAGTTAATTTCTTGCCATTTGGTCGGATGGAATTAGATGGACTTAAATGAACTTAAATGTTGCACAAGTTGTAGTTCGAATCATAAATAGTTTATCAATTACTTTAGAATTGTGAGTATGTCTCGGTGGCATGTGTCAGTTGACAAAAGTACCAAGGTTTAGGACTTGCTAACGACTATTTCCAACAACTTAAAGTCTAGGTACAGTAAACGAAATATTAAATCACTTAAACTAGTGATCATATTACAACCTATTAGATAGAATTAGATCAGTCATAATGGCAAGACAATAATATTATCCTTCACTACTCATCCATAATGACTGAGCTGAAAAAAGGTAGACATACTCTAAATACATGAATAAACAATGAATAGTCATGCTGTAATAAATGTAAATAAGTATTATAGGTTCCTATAAACTGATTTCTTCTAATGTATTCTAGACCCGAACTTAGAAATCTATACTTTAGGACTTTTAATCATTAGTCTATAGGTAGATGCTTAATCAGAAGTTCATAACAGTCTCAAATCCTATCGACAGCCTAGTAATAAGTACGAACAGATAATGATTTCCATAGAATAAAGAAACACCTGCTTAGTGTTTCCTGGTTTTCTAACTAGAATAGGCCAGTATTGTAAATTATTTTTAAACGAGAATATTATTATTGATAATCATAAAATGAAGACTTACCACCATCAATGGAGTCTGTTCGACGAATACGACGTCCATGTTTTGAATTATTATGCACAAACATATTATCTGATATACAAAGTAATTTACGTTCAATTGCATGTGTTGATGATATTGCAACCTTCATAGGAATTACAATGAAAACAAGGTAACAAATATAGTTATACACCTTATCTTTCCGTCATTATTTCTGGTCATAAACAATCAATAATTTAATTTGAGTAAAAAAGAAACTGAACATCAAATAAAATGGTGTTCATTTGTTTGTTTAAATTGACTAATTATGTGTTAACCGGATAATGTGTTGGCGCGTTCTTGATTTATGAAAAAAATTGTTGCCAAATTCTAGCGAGGTAATCACCATAGTGATTAGTATTTTTTTCTTTTCATTTGTATTTTTGGTTGAGAAAAAAGACAGAAGTTTATGATGGGATTCATGCGTCGAAATTAGTCAATTTTGAACAGCAAAAAATATAACAGTAACAAGTCTAGTCGAAAACATACGTGATGAATAGGATCTGATCACTGTTGAATCGTCTTTTTGTCACATATTTTTGAAAATTCACAAATTACTCATATATGAGACGATAATTTTTTTTGGAAAACTACCAACTTTATTTTGAGGATTCCATAGGATTATAAGTTTTGCACAAACTAATCATATCTAAGATAGTGAATGTTGAACATCAGGCTGAAAGCTTATTTACCTGTATGGGTAATTAGCATCTCGGGATTATAGCTGTTGTTAACTCGTCATGGAAATCCTAACTCTAGTTCTAGTCGGAATACCTCACATTTCTTTATCACTTTATTTTAATCCTAGTAAGCAGGTGATACTTATCAAGAGTACTTCGATATCACTAATAGGTTCCCTATAAGTCATAGTCTTGTAGAGAATTACTTTGTTGTAATCGAATGGGAAATAATTAGTGTAAAAACTCAGACTTGGTTTTCAATATAAAATTTAACAATCTTCACAATCCCGTATTGAGAAATTAATTTGTCAGCATGCGTACATCACATACATCAAAAATACATAAATATTTTAAGATTGCGATTAGATGCCGCTAACAATTCACAAACTAGGACTCTTTCTTTTTTAAAACTAACCGTTGAAAATACGTTGAAATCTCTTTAAAACTGTATTAAATCAGACTTTTATCAGAATAATTATTTTAGCTCATTATAGTTTGATGTCACGGACTTGGTTGATTTAAACTATCAGTGAAAACCAGAAAGTACTAGACAGCTGATTCCACTTAGCATGTGACACCTTTACAGTGTACATTCATTATTCAATCGGAGATTGAATTCAGGACATTCAGTCCTTGAGACAAGAGTTTAATCGCCAAATAATTGAGTTAATGATCAAATGACTTACATTAACTAAATAATTTTAAATTAATACTTCAATGAGAAAAACAAAATTCATCAATTTGATTATTCTAGCTTAAATATTCATCGGCATTTTTACAGTTGAAGAACATATGGAACTCAAAACAACAACAGTTCTACTGTATAGAGCTGAAACTTCGAGAACTACCACAATCATCATCAAAATGATACAAGTATATCTAAACAATTGTCTATACAAGGTACTCAAGGTCCGTCGGCTGGATACTATCAGTAACAACCTACTATGTGACAGAACAAATCAGCTTCTAACTGAAGAAAAATTAGGAAAAGACACTGGAGGTGGAAAAAGTATACAATGCGAAAATCACCAAACTGCACCATGAGAGAAACAGAAAAGAGGAAGGCCAGAGAACACACAACGCCGAGAATTGGAAACAGATATGAAAAGGATGAATAGTAACTGGAAAGAATTACCCAGAACAAATTTGGGTAAACGGCCTATACTCCTCCATGAGAAGCAACAACCGTAAGTAAGTAAGTAACCTTAAATACATTTGATAAAGCCAGAAACTCATAGCAAATTAGCATATGTACATAATACACTTTAAGTTCATCGATATATAAATTTGATTAATATCAGATGGGTTTTGTGGATATTATAGTAATTTCAATAGTTAAGATCATGAGTCAGTTGAAGCTAGACCATCATGGAAAATCTGGAAGCACTGGACAGCCGTTTCATCCTATTGTGGGACTCCTCAACAGTGCGCATCCACAACCTCACCCCCTGCGAGATTCGAACCCAGGACATATCACTTTCGCGCGCAAGCACTTAACCAGTAAACCACTGAGCCAGCATCCAACGGTGTTAATGTCTAACTTCGTGGATTAGTTGAAATTATATATAAATTTGAGTCGAATAAAAAACCGCTTAAATTCATTTATTTGTTTTTAGCAAAATCTATGGACACATTAGATACATAGATAGTTAATAAAACATATTTCTTTTTAAAAAAAAATATGTTACTTTCCTTATGGATAATCATGAATAACTACTCTTGGGATTTAAGTATAATCAATTTACTTCTCCATACACAAGCCTATACTACTAACCCAAAAAGTGATGAACTATGTGTGTATGTATGTGTGTAGGTATGTATGAGTGTACATACGCTAGCTATCCTTTTCTCTTTTTACATAGAAATGCCGAAATAATTGAAAAATAAACAAATGAGTAAACAAATATTTATTTACATTTACTATTCACTATGAATAAAATAACTTTATCATTATATATGTAAGTAATCAAGAAGTAACAACTACTTTCATACATTGAACAACACTTGAGATTAGTTCATTCAAAATGAAAATTCATCTTATATTGACCATTTTAACTAGGATACATTGGGATATAAGGCTGTACATGGATAATGACTAAATGATTACCAATGATACATCTAATATTGTTTATCATTGTCATTTATGTGTTGTAACGTTTTCATTTGAAAAAGAAAAATTTTTTTGTTACTCATTTCAATTTTTTATTGTACTAACTTATTGAAAATTGAAATAACTTGTTCTTGATTTCTACTGAAGTATTTTTTTGGCGAGACGGCGAGACTTTAATTTATGGACTAGCCAATCAGAAGCGTTTGAGAGATTTCAAGGTTACGGCGTCAACTTCAATGCTTAATGCTAACGTACGATCGGTTCACAGGGAATTTTGTACAAAACGTGATAATTGAGTGGCTATAACAAATAAAACGGCGAGTCTATAATTTGTGGATGAATCATACGGGTATAAGATGATAGATCTCAGATTCTAACGTGAAAGGCTTTCATCCATTTGGCTAAATAAATTTCTGGCATTATAGCTGATATCAGTTCGTGATGAAAACCTCATATATAATTCCTAACTAAGGCGAATTACGACAATTATCGCGAACCGGATAATAAAAGCACCAGTAATACTGGCTGCAACCAGGTACTACAATATATACGGATGTTTGGAGAGTGTACAGACTCCTACATAGGCTTGGTTATGTGCATCGTATCGTTATCCACAAGTAGCATTTTGTGCACTCAACAACCGGAGTGCACATAAACAATATTGAAGCTATGTGGTCGAGGCTGAAAGAGTTTTGAGACCTTATCATGGCTCCAGAGGCCGACTATTCTGTAGCCATATTGGTGATTTCCTTTACTGCATGCATTACGATTTTAGAACCTCTGAACCCCTTACTAACATTGAAAAGTTTTTGAACCATGTATAACAAGTGTATCCACTTTATTTCCTTGTTTTTGTATAATATATTTCTACTCCATACTGACTGTTTGCTGATTGGCTGATATCTCTCAGGGTCACTTAAGACTCATTCAAAGGTCTCGCCTGGCAAGACTCTAATTTATGGACGAACTAATCAGGTACAAGTTAATAAGTCTAGGATTTTGGCGTAAAATTCATTCATCCATTTGACTAAATAAAGTTTTGGCATTATAACTGATGTCAATTCGTGATGAAAAACTTAAATATTATTCCTAACCTTAAACGTCAAATGTAAATCACAATTGGAAGTCCTCATACTGGTTTATAACACTCCTTTAGCCTTAGTTATTAGCGTCGCTCAAAAATCGTCTATAAATTTTAGTCGCACCGCTGTTTTTCTTTTTTTTGGAATTGACCTATGTAAATAAACATTTGTAGTGTTTATATCATGAATTGACTTTATTAGAAACTATTGTATCGTTGGTTTATTGTTTTATGTTATTATGGAACTTTTTAGATAGAGTTCACTTAAAAACCCATCAGGATTTAAACTTACTGAGGATGTTTAAATTAAACGGTAACATTGTTAGATACTATTTGAAGTAACACTTCTCTAATTGATAGATAATATTTTAAACTTGACAACAAAATATCTTTCAACAAATCTCATATAAGATGGAATTACGCTCTAATGATATCAGCACTAGTTTTAGGACTGAATACTAAAGCCCATTTTTTTGGCAGGTCATCGAAAAATAAGGATACTTAGATAATAGTGGTATGCTCTCAATATTGAATATTGCTATGAATCTTTATGAGTAGAAATTAATCACAATTAAAAATGGATGATAATTGTAGTGAATGTTAACAATTGTGACGATACACTTCTCTCAATGCGAAGCCTCAATATCCCGGGTTCAACTTCTGATGGATTCCTGGTTAGGTGAATTAGTTCAATGTTACAGTATTTTGAATGATTGTCCAGCTAAAACTAACCTTAATTACATTCACTACAAATATCTCATATCGAATAAAAATTATCATTAACATTTATAAGTTTTTATTATTAACTTACTAAGTTTAAGAATAATAAATATAAACTATTTATCGTTGAATTCATGAGTCAATTGAAGCTGGAACACCATGGAAGACCTGGAAGCATTGGACGGCCATTTCGTCCTAGTATGGGACTTTTCAACAGTGCTTCCAATTATTCCATAATAGTCTAACTTCAATTAACTCATGAATTCAATTATAAAATTACAAAACTTTTCATAAACTCCCCTTCTGTTAATAAACTATTTCAATAGTTGGAATCATGAGTTAATTGAAGCTAAACCACTATGGAAAACCTGGAAGCACTGGACGGCTCATGATTTCAACTACTGAAATTTCTAAAATCTCCACAAAACCCCTTCTGATAATAATCATCTACACACAAAGGACTGACTTCAAGAGGCACTTCCTGGAGTTCTAGTTAGAAGCAGTGACCAGTGGAGTTCAACCGCGTTTGTTGTGAGATAGCAACTCACTGAAGACAATGGTGGATGTGTCGCTCAATTTCGTGGATTAATTGAAGTTAGACATTAACACCGTTGAATACCGGCCAGCTCAGTAGTGTAGAGGTTAAGCACTCAAGCGCGAGACAGATCCTGGGTTCGAATCTAGCGAGGCGGTATTGTGGATGTACATTGCTGAAGAGTCCCAGACTAAGACGAAATGGCCTCTCAGTGATTTCAGGTTTCCCATGACGGTCTAGCTTCAATGGACTCATGATTTCAACCATTGAAATTCCTGAAATCTCCACAAAACCTCCTCTGATAATAATTCATTCATTTAGTTAAAAAGAAAATTTCATATCATATCGAGTTATCAATTGTAACTTACTTGAAATCGGCGCATATCACGTGGATTACCAGCATTTTTTAAACAGTTCTGATTACATTTCATAAAGAATTTAAGAAAATGTCTAAAACAAAATGAATGTTGGTTTGACAACAAAAAGAAAGAAAAAAAAGAGAAAAAATGAGCAAAAATAAGAATGTTGTAATGAAGTTTCATTTATAAATACTTTATTCTTTACTTCATAAATTACTTATTACAGATAGAAATGACAATTTAAAACTAATGAGATAACTTAAGAGTTAAGACAATGTTAAAGGTAGGATGATCCATTGTTAAATAAATTGTCAATCAACATACATTACAATTCATTTAGTCATATGATGTTGTAATGTAGTGAACAAGAACACGGGTGGGGACAATCGATTGTATTTACCACAAAGGTTACAGACCATCTCAATAAAATGTGAATACCATAAAGTCAATCGTCAATTTGCAAAATATCATTCCATCATATCAAACTGTACTGTTCCCGTTGCAAACACTAATCCATTGTCTCCCATTCCATTGTACATGTGTTTTCTTGCAATTCCATTGTTCTCTTGCTCTTCCTTTCTTGATCTTCGCCATCTTCTGCTGCCGGACCTTACGTTTATTTAACGCACGTTATATACTACTTATATGAATATAAGTAGCTCACACCACAGTAATACATCATGCATAAAGCTTTGATTTATAACTTGGATGTGTTTTTTTCCCTTGTGTAAAGACCATTGTATTCTAGGCCTTATTTTGTTTCTTGAATATTAGTCATTATCCTTGTGGGAAATAATCAATTTAGGAGTATAAACTATCGCAGATAGTTTTATCATTGATAGTCATTATCAACGTAGAGCCTGGTCTCGATGTATACTGATCAAAGTGGTCAATATAAGATGGGTTTTTATTTTGAATAAAATGATCTTAAGTACTGTTAAAAATGTGAAGATAGTTTTTACTTCCTTCTTCTTGGGGAATCTCAGTAATAAATTGATATAAGGACGGCAGTGACAACTCAGGATCGTAACCAAAATGTTCGCGTGACAAATGCTTGACTTTGTTCATGCATAGCCTCTTTGTGAGTAGTTTCACATGCATTAGCTTCGCACTTTTAAGGTCTTATCACCTGTCACTAAAATCTATGGGTTGTTGTGAGGTGTACTATCTTTTTGACTGGCATTTTCAGCCCTCTTCTTTCGTGATGAGAAATCGGCATCTCTGCAGATGCCAGTTGTTTGACACCTACTTTACTGTACTACAATTCAGTACCGTCAACAATACAAATTCACCCTCAAACTGTATATTTGCTGTTTCTAGTCTCACCATTCTCCAGCCAACCTGTCTGACTTGATAGGACCTAAAGAAACAAATATCTCTAATATAGCTTGATTAGATCATCATAATATGCAAAGCTGACAACCATATTAAGTTAGCAGTTAAATTTCAGTATAGGGGTTGTGGAAATTATTAAGTTTTTTATTGAGATCATGAACCGATTGACCCTAGATCACCATTGAAAATCTAGAAGCACTGGAAGGCTGTTTCGTCCTATTGTGGGACTCCTCAACAGTGCGCATCCACGATCGCGCTCGCGGAACTAGCTCCGTGAGGGAATTCTCGGAGTTCTAGTAAGAAGCCGTGACCAGTGGAACTAATATGTGTCGGGTAGAGACAAGTATCTACCTAAGTACAATGGAAGATGGTCGCTCAATTTCGTGGATTGGTTGAGGTTAGACATCAACACCACTAGATACCAGCAAGCTAAGTGGTCCAGCAGGCTAAACGTTCGCGCGCGAGACTAAAGACCCAGGATTCGAGTCCCTCGAGCGGGATCGTGGATGCATACTGCTGAGGAGTTAATTCTCAGTATTCATTTGCTTATTTCATTCATCATAACCATACTTATTACTAAATGTTTACTCTTTGATTCGAAATCAATTTATTTATAAATAAATAACAGCAGGGTGTCTCATCTCTCTCCCTTCCTCTAACAGACTTTTATTCATTTCACACAAATGTAATTAAATGAAACTTGCATAAACGTATACAATTTGTATAAACGTATATTGTTTATTCTGAATGAGTCTTTCAAATGAAGATGCATGAAAACATGTGGAATAAAAAAATAAAAAGAAAAAGACCAAAAAAAGAGAATATCAAATTAGACTGAATTATGTTGATAATGAAATATTTTATTGTATATTGTATTAATATATAAACATAACGAGCAATTATATCTGTTTATATTACAGTCACGTGTATGATATTACTACTACTCACACTACTACTACTACTACTACTACTACTACTACTACTACTACTACTACTACTACTACTACTACTACTACTACTACTACTACTACTACTACTACTACTACTACTACTACTACTACAAGCATAAACATTAGAACTGCTTTAGATTATAGTTGTTTGAATAGTATGAAAAGATTATTGTTCAAACTAAGTTCTAACCTTGAATTCCCCCCTCCAAATCGCGTGTTTCTGTAATAGGGCACTTGAAAAAGAAATGAACTAATCAATCCACTTGTTTACTTGGATGTTTTCATTGATGTTTAGGACTGAAATTGATCAGTCTCTTATTGGCATTTGTGTATACTGTGCGTATTGCTTCGATATTGCCTTAATTCACAAGCATTCTAAGCTTGGATAGATGGTGGCTAGCAGTGGAATCCAGAACACGCACCATTTCGTCTTATTTAAGACTCGTCAGCTGAGATGTGTCTGCATCTCGAGCACAGTACCGTTCTCTTTATACGCCATCGCATTATCCAAATAGTACGAAACGCGCATCCTAGATTCCACTGCTAACCACTATCGAACTTTGCTTGAAATTAACTAATGTCTATAATAATTAACAAGACATATTACTGAAATGAATAGAATCATTTATATGTAACTAAATAGATTTTAAGTTTGATATACCTATGTATTCCAGACCAAAGTATGTTAATTTTAATCTATTACCTTTCTTTTCCAATTATAGTTTATTCTGTGTATACTGTGACTGTATTTGAATGATCTGTAAACATTTTTTATTTCAATAACTATTTGGAACGTAAAATAATGTAACGATAGTCACTATTTTTGTTTGGTTGAGTGTTTTGAAAGAATAGGAATTGAAGAATAGTTGAATTGTAGGTAGCGCGGAATTTAGGACATGCATCAGTTCCCTCGAGATTACAAGTACACTTTACTTATGAGTACCAAATAGCACCAAACCTAGCTCCAAGGTATCCTGTCAAATACCTCCAACCACCATCTTATATGCTGTGTTATTTAATAGGACAAGCATAAGAATGAAATATGTTCTACTTCAACTTCTGCATTATCAGTTTTCAACAACTTACAAATAATGATATATATATATACCGCTTTTAATCAGAAAATTAATAGGGGTAAAATAGTTTTCATTAGCTGTCTAATTAAAATCAGTCGGTGTTATAAATTATGAAATCATCTCCATCAACCTCACTAATGACTGACTTCGAGGGATAATTTCAATAGTCCTAATGAATCTCTGACTAGTGAAGTCCAACTATGTCGGATGGGAGTCAATTACCTAACAAATGTTATTAGAAGATGGTTATATATAATGTCACGAATTGATTGAACGTAGGCATATAAGCTGCTAGATATCTATGAGTTAAGCATCCACTGTGAAATCTGAATATCCTGTATACGACTCCTGCTATAGTCATATATTCACACTGTTAACCAGTATCATGTTAAGATGAAATAGATGTTTAGTGCTTTTAGATTTCTAATGATTATCTAACTAGAATCAGTCCTCCATGCATACTACATTGTAGTGGTACAGTTTTGTCCAATCTACTATTTTTTTTTCAACTATGTCTACAGAATGAATTGAAGTATTATTTTATTCAACTATTTTATCCGAAGAATTTACATCCTCTCTTACTACAAAAAGGAAAACAATTGTGTTCTAATGAAGTTCATTAATTTATTTATAGTGAATTTATCACAAAATACCTTATGTCATTAATATAAATAAACTTTAACATATACACATTATCAGTTGTACCCTACCTATCTCCTTAACTAAACACTGATTCTTTTTGTCTTTCGGAAAGATTCAGAAAGAAAGAAAGAAAAATTTATATTTACTGACAGTACAGTTCGTGACTTTATTACAATTTTAAAAAGAAAAAAAAAAGAAATATTCCCATGTGTTTAATATGTCAATAGGGCAAATATATCTACTCTGATTCTACATTTTCCCTACTCTTTTTTTCTTTCATTCTCCCTCCCACCCCTTCCCTCTCTCTCTCTCTCTAGCTCTCGTTCTCTTTTCTTCATTGTTATTCTAATTTAATTGATATACAATAAGAGATATCTCATTCATATCAATATCTTTCACCCTTTTTTTCTAATTATTTAAGTCATTTGTTAACTAAGTGGAAAACTTTTCCCAAAAAATGTGTGAAATTATTGTGTTTTTTTTTAAAACAATAACTAAACCAGAGACAGAGAGAGGGGGGAGGGATAGATGGATGGATGGAGGGGGAGCAAAAAATAACGTAACTGTCTATCATATTTTCACTTGATTGTATTGTGTTCTATCTATCTATATAGTTTGACAATTTTTCTTAATAAATCAAAACACAATCAGATTTCTTTCTTGTGTTTCTGACAGTTTTTGAAAAAAAAATAATGTTCTATCACTAAGAATGTTTCTGTTAACAGCTGAAAAATTTGATTGATAGACATGTAAGAGGAATGATGATGATGATATATAAGTGGGATCTTTCAAATGTTCCATTCATGTTAATCCAAATTAACTTTATTACCGGTAGTGATTTCAACTTAATATTTTAAATATTTAAATAGTTTGTACTTTATTTAGGTTGAAAGTTAGACAGGGTAAACAAAAGGTTAACTGATGTTAATTATCCATTATATATATATATGTGAGAGATGATAACCTTTATATTCTTGGTGGTAGAAAATTGCGCCGATGATGTTGCTCAGAAGAATGATAAAAGGTTCACAATTAAGCCAATTAATTCAGTGAATAAAAATTTACCAAAAACATCTATCTGAGCTACAAATCTCCCTCCATGTATATATGATTTCGTACCCGTTAAACAGGTTGATGGATAGCTGTATTTCATAGCTCAATAAGTCATGAATTGACTTCTGAAACTATAACTATTCTGTTCGGATCTCAGTGAAAACTTCAACGTCGGAGTTTATATATATATCTAGCTGACGACTCCTACATAAAAAGAATCACTTATCTTGGATTCGATTTTTAGATACGATCCGATTTTACTGAATTTTTTGATCAGCATGTAAATATACTTGTAGAGAGGCTGATCATATAGAGTCTTCAATATCAACAATATAAAATATAAACCCTTAAAACAGATAAGTGCTTTATGTTTATGTTAACCTCAAACGTATCTATTCACAAGCGAGGATATGATCAGACCTTGATGAACATAACATTATTCTTTATCCAGCGATTAGTGGATGTCAGTAGTTACCTAAATAGTACAGTGGTAACATCTCATATTGTGTCACACTAGTTCGAACCTCAGACAAACTACCAGTTTCAGATAGATTTCAAGTAATATTTGCTGAAAAGTACAAAGGATGAAACCTAGGTCGATGAAAGCATCCTATCGATTGCCTCCAACTACCTAACACTAAAATAATATTTAGATATTTCAATGTAGTCTTCATTAAGAATTGACGTTAGTTGAAACAGAAATTAATCAGTAGCATTAAATGGTGATTATTTCCTTTCATGCAGTGATTACAATAGAAAATATGAACTATCGGCTTACAACTCTACGGTTTTGTTGTATTAAGAAACCACTGGAAATTATCAGTTCGACATCGTATAGAATAGTGGATAGCTAAAAGCCTTAAATTAGGACGAAATAATTAACCAATTTTCGATTATTGAAAGCCTGGAAGTAATGGACGGCCGTTTCATCCTTGTATGGAACCGTGGATCAGTTGAAGTTAGACATTAACACCGTTGGATACCGACTCAATGGTCTAGAGGTTAAGCTTTCTCATATGAGACCGAAGATCCCAGATTCGAGTCCCACATGTGAGATCGTGAATTCGCTCGAAATGACCATCTATTGCTTTCAGGTGTTTTCAATAGATTCAACCATTGAAATTACTACGATTGCCACAAATCCCCATTCTGATAATTTTTCATTAGTTGATGATAAGCATTACTCTTATTCATAAGAATTCTATCACATCTCATGGAACTATTGATTCATTATTATTTCGTTTACTTTACTTTTTTTTTAATTCTAGTCCTATTAATTAACCCTTTTTCTTTTCCTTATCTTTAAAAATGATGGTTAATCTGTCGAATATAATTAACATTTTCAAAAGTTGAAATGATAAGATGTATTTTAATGAAAATGAGAAACAAAACCAAATTCTAAACAGAACAACAGTGAAACATATAGACAACATAACTTTCACTGATAGATATGAGTATGTATGTATATATGTGTTAAGCTTGTGTATATATTGGGATAGTAAATAGAATTACATTGGATGAGTACACTATTGGATATGAAATGGATTGATTAGTATGTAATCGAATTCCTAGAATGAAATGAGTTCATTCCTACTATTATTATTACTGTTATTGTTACTGCTTATGGCTTTTGTTCCCTTTTTATCCAGTCAATTTGTGTATATTCTCTCGGTTTGTGCATATATCATCATTAATGATGATATAATACAAAAAAAAGTATGTTGAAGAAATAGATAATGAGATTTGACATTTTATTTATAAAGTATTATTATTAACATTTTCTGAATGATATATGCTTTAACAAAAGTTGATATATCAAAAAGTATTTGAAAATATACTACTTAAATGAACTCAACTATAATGGAAAGTATATATGATTGTGATGTGTGTTACTTATATCGATAGGCATAAGTAGTATATAATGCTAATCAGAAATGGAATACCTGGCAGTAGAAGTTTGAAAAGATTGATTACAAGAGAACGAGAGCAGAGAGTGATTGGTATAGAAATAAAGGAATAATAAAGTCTGAGATAATTGATTGACATTTTGCAAATGAATTATTTACTGTATGGTTCTCATAGTTTATTAAGAGATTCTATAGTTTAATTTACTAGAAACCTTAAGCCTAGACCTTGTGTTTGTTGATTTCCATCAGTTTAGAGTAACTAAGATATCGTGAGAAACTCATACTCTTTATGGGATTCGACTAGGAAAACATTAGGTTGTTTGTTCGCTCAGTATTTGATCAATATAAATATTACGGTCTTCGAGAAGCTCAGTCATGTCCCGAATGATTCAGAGATAACATCTTCGACTGTGGTTCTGGGTGGCGTTTGTTCTAATTACATAGAGAGAATCAGCCTCTTTATGATTAAAAATACGCTTTGTTAACAGGCACCAGCTAGTACGTAACATATATCCAGGATTTTTGTGTACTACGTCAGACCCTTTAATATTAAAATATAATATATATGATCTCAAGTCACTTAGGCTAATGACCACACTGCAAATTGATAGACAGAATTTAAATCAACATCAAAGGATTAGACAAACATTATATTGGTCGGAACGTTTATGTTGATATCAGTTTAATTTTAGTTGGTTTGGGTTACAGATTAATATCATCTGAATCATTGAAAGCTAGGAAGAATCGAATAGCCGTTTCATCCTATTATGAGACACGTCAACATTAAGAACATCACAACTATACTTGGAATTAAACTCAAGATATTTAAGTCTCACCGTGAACATATCGAAAGTCCAACTGAAACCAATCTATGATGACATAACAACCAAAATGCAAATTTATTACTTCTCGAAATAATAACCATATAGTATTTAAGATATTCAAGTATATTATAAACTAATTTGCCAATAAAAGCATTTGATTGGATTACTACTAAGACTCTTTTTATCAATAACTTATTTTTCTTCATGGATTTCATCATTGGAAAATTGTTTTGCCTTAGAATGGAACTCTTCAGAAGCGGATATGAAGGATTCTACCAGGGGTCAAGATCAGGACTTTCGAGTCTTGTACTGAACATCAGACTTTGTAATATTTGTTCACTAGGTCATCACTACTTCAGGTTTGTGAACACTCACATTGAGCCATATTAATCAAATCTTGCCTACACATCCATAAATATTTTATCAGTTATAACATTTGTATATGTACCGGGTTTCATAGGTTTTTCGGCCTTATCAGTTGTTGATCTGTTGTATGGAATAATTTGTCATTAGTTAAAGGTCATCGAATATAACTAAAAATTGCCTTTTACAACAACTACGAAACAAATATATATACTCACCTATCTAAAATGACAGGATCTGATGGTGTTTCATTTCGATTACCACAACTTTTTCTTTCACAACATCGACTACACATTACTTCATGTGTAAGTAGTACTCGACACATTTCTGGATTTTTATCTTGTCCTTCATAGGCAATAGGCTTTAGGAAAATAGAAATTCATTAAAAAAAAACACAAAATGATTAAGAAAGAATAAAATGCCATAGATGTATTGAATGTCACAAAAATTTGTTGTCTGTGAAATGCTTAACTGATTTATGCTTGGCACTGAAACTCCGAATTCGTCAACACAAGCAGCGAGCATAAAGATTGGTAATATAGATTCAATTGACCCCAGAAATAAATCATATTGATATCTGAGTGCGCTAATTTTTATATGATTCATTTACAATCAGATTTGCATAAATTGAATTGCGTAGTATTTAACATTTATTAAAGAAAAAGGGTTTTTTGTGGATATTATAGTAATATAATAGTTGAATTCATTATTCCATTAAAGCCAGACCACCTTGGAAAACCTGAAAGCACGGAACGGCCATTTTATCCTAGTATGGGACTCCTCAGCAGTGCATCTCCACGACCCCGCTATCGGAATTCGAACCCAGGATCTATCGGTTTCGAGCACGAACGCCTAACCCCTACACTACTGAGCTGGCTGGCGTCCAACGGTGTCACCGTCCACCATTGTCTTCAGAGAGTTACTATCTCACAACAGATCCTGTCGAACTCCACTGGTCACTGTTTCTCACTAGAACTCCAGGAAACACCTTTTGTAGACCGTCACTAGTGAGCATATAATGACTATAATCAGAAAAGGGTTTTTGTGGATATTATAGAAATTTATCAAACAACCAATTACTATGAGGACACATGTTTACAATATCATACAACCAGACATTTATAACTAATGAATATAACTGATTTATCAAGTTATATAATTACTCCTTCCCAGATAGTGATTACATGTCACAGATGATTGAGAAGAATCAATTTCGCTTGTCATTCACGCTTCAATCGATTTAGTTATTGCACGCTATATCAATACATATCAAATGGATTTCGATGCTAGTAAATTATAGTGAAGCCGTTAATTATCCCTTATTGGTATCAGTCTAAGCAAGTTATATTGAAATGATGTAACAGATTAATCAGTGTTCTGAAGTCAATATTGTTATAATGTTAAATATATGATTTAACTTTTTTTCTATTATCTGTTATTATCTATTAATCAGACTTGTATGATTTATGACAGAACTTTGAAGATAGAATAAGTAAAGCTAAGAACAAATTCATTGATGGGTAGAGAATACAGGAAAATTGTCTGGTTCCACTAATCTCTAAGAATATCAAATGATATGAACTGAAGATCTTAGAAGAAAATGAACTTTAAAAAAATGTTTTCATGTTACCAACTGACGGATCACTAGATATCATACCGTCTTAAATTTTAGCCCAGTGATCTATTTCGATCATGTTTACTGAAAATCCTGAAGATTCTCTTTACTAGAGCTCACATAATTCGATATATGATCATCACTAATTAGTCCTAAACTATAATCAAACATATCCAAGGTTCCTCCTGGTTTTCACTTATATCAATTTATGAGGACAATTATCTTCAATAATAAAAAGATCTAAATAAAGTCAAACATGTTTTTACTTTTTACATAGGTTGGTTATTGAATGGTGATCAGTATTACGTTTGTTTAGTCATTTAGTGCTAAATCAAATTCTATCTATTAAGTTGTAATTTGTTCTACACTAGTTTAAAATGACTCGGCATCGAATGCATAATGCCTTGATATCAAGTGGTTAAATATAGTCGACAGGAACTCCTATCAATTATTTGTCAATATTTCAGTCCTACAGAAATCCAGTCACAGCTCAAATAGTTCTGCTTCTTGACGATATAATATTAATTTTTATATGAAGTATAACATGAAGATAAACTCGATAATGAATCATTTAGAACGATTATATAGTAACAGATAATATACAAACTATGAGTGTTTTTGTCTTTCATCAAAGTATGAACAAAGTATTCATATTATATACACTTTAGAAATGTATCAAACTATTTGGGGGTGGGGGTGGGGTGGGGGACAAATTTCATGATAAAAATAAGTCAGAATTAAACATTTAAAAACTTTTTTTTTAGTCAATTGTTGAAAATTCTGTTGTTACAACGACACTTAGTTAACTGATACAATGTAGTGAGTAATTGGTATAGGTTTAACTATTAATTTACTTCGATGACTAACAAGTAGTAGTAGTGAGGTGTACGCTCCTTATATTGACGGATATAAGTAGTATGTATCACCAATCGAAGGTGAAATGCCTGGTGGCAGAAGGTTGAGAAGATCGAATAAAGAAGAATGAGAGCAGAGAGTGGTTGGTATGAAAATAAAAAAAACAAAGTTTGAGACAATCAATTGACATTTTGCAAATAAATTGTTTACTGTATAGTTCCCAGACTTTACTAAGAGATTCTGTGATTTTGTGCTCAAATACATTTGGTTGTTCCCATTGGTGTTCTCATTCAGGACAGTAGTAATAGTAGTTGTGTGGGTAGTAGTGTGAGTAGTAGTAGTAGTAATAGTAGTAGTAATCATAATCAATTAATGCTGTTAAGTAGACAAAAATATGTTCAGTGAAACGATCTGATAACCGGTTGTTACTCAATAAATAATAGAAAAAGAATTATTAATGAAAGTCATTTCTCATTTATTTATTAAACTTACTTGTTTTGTAGATGAGTCCACCAATCGAATATATAAATCTTGATCTTGTTGAACACCTGAAATAAAAATTTATTCAGAATGATTACTTGATTAAGTGACTTGGCATCATGGTAAAATTCATTTGGTAAACGATATGAAGCTGATATCCTTTCATTCAGTTGAATGAATTTACTGTAAACTAGATCAATGAAATTTAGTCAATATTAAGAACTAGACAATTTAATACTTATCACAATCCAGTAGTTGTTCAATGTCAACATCTCAATAATATAAAAGGTTGATGCTATTTAACTGTCATCAGAGGAAGTTGATTCTTGTCTTTGATGGAGAACCAATACTTTCATTATTGGAGTTACTACTCACTGATGCATATTAACTGACACAAAACATAGATCCAAGGTTTCCAAGGTTTCAATCATTTCTGGAAATATTACGCGATTTTTTTGTAATAATCACTCTTTAGTTTTATTTCATTGTACCTTCTTCATAAATAATGGATAAAGTAGTTGACGAATATGAAGGTTTATTGATCAGTAAATGTGAGATATTGGTTACTTCAGACTGCTTAGATAATGTTAGGAAAACGAAGGAATCGAATTCCAAATTAATGGGTAAATATCAATCATGATCATTGATACACCTGAATGCACATAGTTTTGTTTTTCACAATCATGAAAGTGAGTAGTAGAGCAAAAAGTGTAGATAAAAATAGTATGGTTTACAATTTTTTCCAGTTGATGTTGTCAAAATGCTCATGATAAGTTCAGTTCAGTCCAGTTCAAGCAAACTTCAGTATTCGATATTAATTGAAGAGATAAGTATTGTTACGGAATATTTGTGAATATTATTGAATTTCATAGTTCACAAATGTATTTTAGTGAGATAATCACCGATAAAACCATAAGACAATGTGTAACTGTCTCGCCTGAGTACTGGATGCTTCGACAGTGTGCATCTATGACCCAGGACTTTTAGATCTCGCGAAAATGATTCGATACTGTCTCAGTCGCCTAAGATTTAAGCCCTTACCGTGAAGCCTAGAGGTCTTGGGTTCAGTTCCAGTTGAGATCGTGCGTGTGCACTGTTGAAAAGTCCCATACTAGGACTAAACAACTGCCTAGTTCATTTAGATTTTCATTAGTTTTCTTGCTAGGATCAACCCGTAATATATTTATTAAAGAGATAAGAATAATGTGGTTTGTGAATTATCCACTACTCTCTGTTTTCGAATGATCTTATAGCTTATGTCCTTCGTAAATGAAAGCTTTCAGTAAGGATTAGATATGGTCAATAAATATCAATAAACATGCTAAGCTAGACAATTATCGTCCTCAACAACATTATCACCACTTACTTCATGTAGAAGTGAGCTTCTTAATCATTCCACATGTACTAAACCCGCTTGTTCTGTTAGTAATCAATAATAAATACGGACATCAGAACAAATGGATTAAATACTTACGGAACAGTGAAAAAGCTCATTGCTACATTAAGTAAACAGTGATAATATTGTTCAGAACAAAAATGAAAGCTGCACAAATAAACTATTTAGTTCAGAGAGCTCAACAATACCAAAATTATAAGTATAGGAAATTACAGAGATTACTGAATGATATTAATATCACGAAACGACCTACGTTAGACATCCATTGGAAATCAAGAAGCACTGGAAAGCTGTTTCGTTCTAGTATAAGACTCTTAACAGTAATGCATCTCCCCAACCCTACCGGCTCTTGAACATGGGAACCTCGGTCTTACGGACGAACGCTTAGCCTCTAGATTACTGAGTCAAGCCATGAATGAGTCCCATACTAGGATGAACCAGTTTTCTAATACTTACTGGTTTTCAGTACATATCTATCGGTTCATGATATTCATAACACTAAGATTATAAATTTATCTTAAACACCTTTCTATTGAAGTTGATTTGTTATTCTAATTAGCCTACTTATCATTAAGGTAGTCTCAAAAATTATTTCCAAAAGACAAAGAAATATATATCTATTTCCTCATAGATTTCAGCTTTGTTTTTTTTCTCCTCAAACATCTTCTCCTTTGTTTCATTACTGTCAAAATCACTTTCATATTATTAACTTAAATAAGGCACGTGTAATACTTGTCGGTATCTCGGAGTTTATTATTTTTTTTAATGAAGTCATATCATTAAAATAATAACCACAGAGAGAGAGAGAGATTGGGAACGAGTGAGTGAGTGAGTGAGTAGGAAGTGAGGGGGGTAGTACAGAGCAATCAATAATACTTATCTGGTTATTACAAAGAATGAGTTAATCACTGATTATCTTTACTTTAAAAAAAGAATAACAAATCGAACGAGAGAGAGAGAAACTACGATAAACAAGTTTACCACTCCCACTTATTGACATTTCTGACATGATAACACACATGTCTTTAATTGGTTATATAGAGAATAATTGGCAAGATCAAATTGTTTTCATAACTGATGTGTTATGAGTATACATAAATGGTAGACCACCTATTTATCATTTCTATCTATTCATAATAAAAGCTATAACACGTGCCTAATGTTATTATATAGATATATATAATGATTAATATCAGATAGGTTTTGTGGATACTATAGTAATTTTAATGGTTAAGATCATGAGTCAGTTGAAGCTAGACCATCATGGAAGACCTGAAAGCACTGAACGACCGTTTCGTCCTATTGTGGAACTTCTCAGCAGTACGCATCCACGACCTCGCCCCCCTGCGAGATTCGAACCCAGGACCTACTGGTTTCGCGTACGATCACTTAACCAGTAGACCACTGAGCTAGCCGGTATTCAACAGTGTTAATGTATAACTTCAACTAATCCATGAAATTGAGCGGCACATCCACCATTATCTTCAGTGAGTTGATATCTCACAACAGACCTGGTTGAACTCCACTAGTCACTGCTTCTCACTAGAACTCCAGGATATACCTCTTGAAGCCAGTCACTAGTGAGCATATTTTGATTAATATCAGAAGGTGTTTTATGGATATTATAGTAATTTTAATTGTTTTCATAACTGATGTGATATGAGTATAAATAAATGGTAGACTATTTCTTTATCATTTATATCTATTCATAATAAAAGCTATAACACGTGCCTAATGTTATTATATAAATATATATATAATGATTATTAAGTGGAATTCTTGTTGTAGCATTGTTTTCTCCTTAATATATGTGGTATTATTTAACCTTTTAAAGAAAGTGATTATGAATATTGAGTTGATTACAAAAGAGAATTATTCACTTATATATGAGTTATTATAGAATATCTAAAGAATTCTTTTATAGAAATGATTATCCTACAATACACTGATCATATCTGTGGAAGTTATATCATGTTTACTTTCATGCCTATATACTTTGATTTGGCTGAGTGGATTAGATGATCAACTGTTACCTAGTAGGCAGTTAGTTTAAGATTCACTTCATCTACTTCGTTTTAAGCAATCCAAAAGTAATATAAACTAGTAATTTGTAAATGTTATATTATATTATTTTATTATACTATACCGTAATTGGTTGCTATGACTAAAAACAGTTATGAGATGTTGTTCATAAAAGTACCTAAGGAATATATTTATTTCATAAAAATACTTTCATAGATCTATGTTATCATTTAAAACTGATAGAGATCAAACTTTTTCTATCATTCTTACTAACTCTTCAATTTAGTTGGGTATAGGTTTGAAGATTTTTCTATATTTAAGCTTACAAAGTAACTAAATTTGGAGTGATGAATCAGCGATACGTAACTTTGTAGTTTAAATATATTGTACTTGTAAAAGATTCTCAGTTCAACCTCATAAATAGTTCTACGCTAAAAATGAATCGATTATTTAATGTTATTTATTTCCACAGTTGAGATTATGAGTGAATTGAAGCTAGACCACCATGGAAAATCTGGAAGCACTGGACGGCCGTTTCATCCTATTGCGGGACTCCTCAGCAGTGTGCACCCACGACCCCGCCCCGCGGGATTCGAACCCAGGACCTATCAGTCTCGCGCTTGAGCTGGCCAACATCCAACGGTGTTAATGTCTAACTTCAACTAATCCACGAAATTGATCTCAACTGTTGAAATTACTACAATCTCCACAAAACCCCTTCTGATACTAATGTTATTTAATTTTCAGTGACATCCCAATTGACTTGAGTTCATGATCTGAATCAAGAAGTTTTTATTACATCGTATCGAAGTCATATGCCTAGTACTAATAACTTTAAACAATAAACTAAATTAATTATATGAAGTGAATAATTAACTCTGTATTTTTAATAGTTGAATTCATGAGTTGATGTAAGCTACACCACAATTGAAAACCTGGAAACGCTAGAGGGCCGTTTGGTCTGTGTCGGGTAGAGATAGGTATCTACCCCAGACAATAAATGAATGGTTGCGCAAGATCATGGATCGATTGAAATCAGATATTAACACCGTTGAATTTCATCCAGCTCAGTGGTCTAGAATTTAAGTGTTCAGGCATGAGACCAAAGGTCCTGAGTTCGAGTTGTTTCGGTATGGTATCGTGGATTAGCACTGGTGAGGAGTCACATACTGTTAGGTCCCGATAAACATAATGAATGGTAACTTTGGGATCCTTTTATGGACCAATACTAAACGTATATTTTTATCGTATAATTGTTAAATAACTAAACTATACATATTCATATTCCTCTTATTATAAACTTTATTTTGACCTATGAACCATTATTATACGTTTTACCATTCTTGAATTATGCCCTGTCTATTAGTCACTGCCTCCAATATTCACAGACACATTTGGCCAAATTTTGTACAAATGTTATTTTCTATTTTATGTTACGTTGTGGTCTGTTTGGTTGGTATGTAAACTCAGTATGTTTGAAATATAAGGATTCATATTACGGAGGCTGAGACTGGTGTTCTGGACTTAACTGGCTGGGCTAGGCGGAAAGCAGAACCAATCAGGACTCTAGGCTGCTCGTATGCTTTTTACGCGTCCTTGGTCCGATCGATAATTCTCTGCTTCTGAATGGCAGCTTTGGGCTATAACACATACTAGAACGAAGCGGCTATCCACTACTTCCAGTTTTTCAATGATGATCTAGCTTTAATCGACTCATGAATTCAGCTATTAGAATTACTACAATCTCCACAAACCCCCATTCTAATCATAACTTTATTGTTAATCAACGTATATATAGATTACAATTTAATGAATTACTCACTAACTTTTAGTGTGTAAGTTAAAAATAAAGTATAAACATTCAATAATAATCATTTTTTACAAAACAATATATAATCTATCTTTTAGGAACTTCAAACATACCATTAGCAAATAGTAAACGTATTCGATAATGAATTCCATTGTTGGTTTTTTCACCCTCCGGTTCCTATAATAATTAAGGAAAGAGGTCGGTTAATAAATGACAGTAAAAAAAAGTTACTTATTACTGTCCTCTAGTATTACTGCTTAACTAACGACAAGTGAATGATCTATATCAACAATATATATAATAGTGAATTTTATTGAATAAGCCGACCAATAATTTAATGATCAATTATTTTATCTTCTGTTACTTATTTATTATTGCGTATCATATTACTAATTCATAATAATGAGTAGTTATCATTTGGTAGGATATTAATTGATTCAAGCGTATGATTGTTTAAAGATCCCTATCATATTAAAAGACTAATATTTGAATAAAGAATATTCTTTTCAATAAATTCTGTTCAGGTTCTACAAGTATATATTCAAATTAATAATCCGAAAAATGATCAGATTAAGGGTAAACTGTATCGTTTAAAGTTAAAGCATGTGCATTTAGAATTGTTAAATAAAATAGGACGAAGTGGTGCGTGTCCTGGATTCCACTGCTAGTCACTATCCATCCAAGCTTAGAATGCTTGTGAATTAAGGCAATACTCACAGTATGCACATATACCAATAAGAGACTGATCAATTTCAGACCTAAACATCAATGGGAAGATTCAAATAAATAATACCGAGTGAATTTAAAATAGAATAAAGTTGTTCATGTTGATATGACTCATATAGAATGGTAACATGGATCAGCTTATATGTTAAATGAAAATTTTAAGATCCATGATGAGAATAAACATGGATCAGATAGGGGGAGAGAAATAATAGTGTAATTACAATTCTGTCAAATGTTTAATGAGTTACTATCTCACAACAGACCTGGTTGAACTCCACTGGTGACGGCTTCTCACTAGAACTCCAGGAGTTTTTCCTGAAGTCAGTCACTAGTGAGCAGTTGATTATTATCAGAATGGGTTTTGTGGAGAGTTTTAGAAATTTCACAGATTGAAATCATGAGTCGATTGAAGCTAGACCACCATGGAAAACCTGGAAGCACTGGACAGCCGTTTCGTCCTAGTATGGGACTCCTCAGCAGACTATGTTGTGTGAAATATTAGTAAGACATTGTAAGGTGGGATGAATGCGAAGTAAATGAATCATGTATTGGGGAGATGAATAATGATGTTTAACTAATAATAATAATAATAATAATAATAATAATAATAATAATAATAATAATAATAATAATAATAATAATAATAATAATACAAACATTTGTGTATAAAGATAACAGAGACTGTAAAAGGTCATAAGTACAATAGTCAAATTAGCTCACTAAACAGCTAAGTTATTTAGCCTTGAGGTTGGCCAGGGAAGAAGTGGTTGAAGATATTTCTTTTGTACACACAGCTCAGGTTTCTTCATCCGAATGCCTACTGCTTCAGCCACTTGAAGGACTTAAAGTGCTTGGATTGGTTTATACTGGAACTATGTAAAATCTAACAATTTTAAATGATACACAATTCTACTTGGTCATATGTTATTTACAACTAAATGCCTAGCCAAATGAATCTGTTCCTAATTATTTGTGAAAATTAATTCGTTATTAAAGGAAATTACTATGAAAATAACCGTGAACAAATAAAGGAATAATTGGTGAGACTATAATTTTTGGACGACCTTTGAGCAACCCTAAACTGACCTTGAAAATGTTCATCTACTAACTAGGACTAAATGAGGAATATAAAGGAATGTGAGGAATTAGAATTATGGTTTACAATAGATGGTTAAGTCTAGGAATTAGATTTATAGTCTTCATCACGAACTGACATCAGCTATAATACCGAGATAGTATTTAGCTAAATGAGTAACTGAATTTCGCGCTGAAATTCGAAATCTCCTATCTTAACTGTGATTGGTTCGTTCATAAATTATAGCCTTGCTGTTTCAACATAGTTTCTTATTTCATACGATTATGATTGTTATTCGATTCGATGTAGATCAAAAGCCTATGCTCTTAAATAATATTCCAAGATCATTCATTAGTAAACATCCAAACTAAATAAATAAATGAAAGTTCTCATTGATCGCTAATGTTAGGGCCATGGTAAACTGGAACTCCACCTAGAGCCCCTTTGGGGCTACTGTCGGTCCCAAGTTCGAATAAAAGAGGAGGGTTGGGCACGGGGCTAGCGACCCCATCCCATAGAAAACTAACTCGCTGAAAAAACGATAACCAGAAAAAAGTAATTCAAACCAAGTAAACTGGAACTTGGAACAGAGGAAGGCTGGGATTTAAGTGACTCAAGAAAGAAGAAACTGATTGCAGAAGTTTATTTTATTTAACTGATCCCACGTGGGGAATCGTAAATGCGGACTGGTGAGTAGTCCTGTACTAGGACGAAACAATCGTCCAGTGATTCTAAGTGTTCAGTAGTGATCTAGGTTTGACTGACTCATGAATTCAACTGTTAAAATACTACAATCTTCATAAATCCTCATTCTAATTTGCCACTTAGTCAACCAATATCATGTAACAGAAATAGTGAAAATACAAAAATATGTTTTTACATAGAATCGCTACTAAATAATTGTCACATTTTATACTAAACGATAATTAAACCAAATTAATACAAAAAAATATTAGTATTAGGAGTTCTGTAGATATTATAGTAATTTTAATAGTTGAGATCATGAGTCAATTGGAGCTAGAGCACCATTGAAAACCTGGAAGCACTGGACGACCGTTTCGTTCTATTGTGCATATCGTGGATTCGCTTTGCTAAGGAGTCCCACAATAGGACAAAAAGGCCGTCCAATGCTTTCAAGTTTTCCATGGTGATCTAGCTTCAATTGACTCATGATCTCAACCATTTTAAAAAGCATATATTATACTGAACAAAATATCACACTGAGTGAAAACGTGATCTCACATTCCTATCCCATCTCATCAGTTAATATTATTCTTCTATCATAATTCATATCATTCACTGAGTTGTAGTAAAGTTTCTATAATATTAAACAAATTATTCAATTGATAAACTAGAACTTCATCAAAATTCATCTACCTAAGCTACAAATCTTCACCATTATCTTAAACAAGCATCTCACCACCACCTTAGATCTTTGATCAACACCTAGAAAACTCTATTGAGAAATCAGTTATGTAACCTTTCAATTGTTTGTTTTATTTTTAATAAAATAACTTTTTTTTCCTTTCAACATTAATTTAATACAAATCAGGTTTCTTCTCTCTGTCTCTCTCTTTAAATTGCGTGTTAAGTTTATTAAAATGTATTCTCTTATCCTGCTGTGATTTATATTTGTGCTAGTCAAATTGAATATTTATAAAATCTATTATATCAATTGAATAGTTTCAACTCAATATGAAGATGAATTGATTGATTGAAATGAATTAAGCCGATACATCGGTAGATATATAGATATCGATTGGCCCCAAAATGCCCTGGTATGGCCGAGAGTGGGAAGAGTCCGCTGTCCCTCTCGAAATGCCCTCACATGGCCACGCGTATATAGCCTCTGCCAGGGAAGTCCTACTCACTGCCTCCTCGCACCACGGGTGTTGTTTCCGAAAATGAGAGGATGAAAAGCGAATGTCCGGTGCTTTAACCGGATTCCAAACCAATGGTGCACATGGGCTCCAGTATCCTGAGGGAACAAATGGCGTATGAACCAATTGTTGGTCACCGACTTCCATGAGACTGCATCTCCTTACGATGCTCCACTGCCTTGTGGGTCAGACCTTCAGGTTGAAGGCTCGGGGAGTGGCCCTCTAAGAAAACCACCTGCGTCGATTTGGGCACCCGGGCAGTATCACAGTCCTCATACACATCAAATGAGATCTGTGTGGCGCATATGTATTTGGTGTCTCTTTGTACCAATATCTATGTGTTAAAATAATAATAATAATAACACTATATATTTGTATAACAAACGCTAAATACAGTGATGTGTTGTTGAAGATATAGATTGCGTAATCTAGAGGTTAAGTATTTACATGTGAAATTGATAGTACTAAATTTCATCTCTCAATAAGATCATTGATAGGTACTAGTGTGATGTGGGTTAAGTATATCTATAGCGACTCACGTGCTAATGGGTTTATTTTCATTTAACCCAGTTAAGCCCTTTTTGTTAACTTATTTAGCGGACAAAGCCATCCGCGCTATAACAATTTATTGTATCCTTATTATTATTTTGCGCTTGTATGAAATACGTATGCTTGAATATTGATTACTGCCTACGCATTTATTCACTCTGCTAATCTTACTACTAACCGCTTATTCGATTCGATTACTCATTCATTTCACATGGTATATATATATGTCCATGTTATTCATATTGAACTCAATCGCTCACTCGCTCGCACGGTCTCGTCACGCTCTTGCTCTGGCTCTCGCTCGCTTGCTTGCCTTTCGGCACAACTCTTCTATGCTTGTTTAACACATCTGTACATTTGGATATATGTGTGTGGTTTCGCAATAAACGTAATCGACACTTCGTATTTGCCTTCTGATTAATATACCGTTGGTACGTTATATAGAACGGTTATCGCGACGAACATTATACGAAGTTTAAGGATTATATCAAATACCGACCACCACATAATTGGCGATCCCGACGCGCGAACACGAAACAATCTTGAACGACGTAATCCAATTCCTAAAATCCAACGTATTCGATTACAATTGTAACTATCATTTGGATTATAATTATAACTGTGGATTTATTATCTCATTATTTTAATTATACGTACATTATCTCACGAACATTATTGAACATAACGATAATATTCATAATAAACAACGATATTTTTACAAACAATTGATATTTTGGTGCAATTTAGTAAGTCCGTTCTTTGTTATAAATTGTATCATTTGTTTTTATCATTGTTTTTATCGACTCACTTTTCTCTGTGACATTCGCATTATATTTGTGTAATTTTTTTATCTTTATGAATATGTCTTTAAGCAACGATACAATAGAACTTTCCCAAACGCCGTCCGTGAGGTCTATTAATGTAACTACTCCTCCTTTTAAGGTCAC